AGACGCGCAGCGCGCACGCGCCAGGGCGGGGCTTCCAACTGCCTGCGCGTTGGCTGCAGGGACACGTGGTCCCGCCCCAACCTCTGCTCGGTGATGCCGGGGCCGCGGGCTTTGGGGACGGATGGTCTTCGTCCCTTGGGTTAATTGAGCACTAACCGAACGCCCTGCGTAGGTGGAACACCCAGTTGTCGAGGCTTGGCGGGACGGTGTAGTCCTATCTCTCAGAGACGTCCCCTGTAAACTGGGGGTGCCTGCACAAAAATAGGTATTCAGTGTGCATTTGTTGAATAAATGAATCAGGACCTTCCTTAGCACGGAGCCTGGTGCACGGAACGGTGTCTGATGCTTCGGACAATAGTATTAAGGGGCAGTATATAGCAAAGTGATTGGGAACACTTGCTCTCGGGTGAAATCCTGACCTGGCCACCTACCGGCTGTGTGACTTTGTACAAGTGACTTCACCTCTCAGCCTCGAGTTTCCTGGGAAAGGGAAATAATAACCATTGAGATAGGATAAAGAATAAATGAGCTTGCCTGGCCGGTCAAGGGCACGTGTCTGGGTTGCAGGTTCGAGCCAGCGCCAGCCGGGGAGCAGGGAGCGTCCAGGAGGCAAGCAATGGATGTGTCTCTCACAATGTATGTTTCTCTCTCTCTTTCTCTCTCTCTCTCTCTTTCTCTTTCTCTCCCCTCTCCCCCCCTTCCTCTCTCTCTGAAAATCAGTGGGGGGAAATATATCCTTGGGTGAGGATTAACATCAAAAAAGAATAAATGAGCCACTAGTTACTCCCTTAATATTTATGAAATTCCACGTGGACAGGGGTTGGCTTTGTTCATCACAAGGTCTTCCTCATGCAGAGGATAATAACCACATATAATAGGTGCTCAGTAAAAGGCTGTCCAAGTTCAGCCACTGGTTTATGAACCTTAATCTCCTTAAATTGTGAGGCTCAGCTTCCTTTTTGGAAAGTGTCTTGGAGAACCCCCCTACTTCCCTTTCTGTCCCAAGATTCTGGGGCCCTCTAAATATGGGCAGTCAGCTCACAGGACTCCTGGTTCCTGTTCCTTCATGGTTCCTCATTTTCCAGTATTCCTGTCATGACATGATACAAGGTTCCTTTTTCTTCACATCTTTTCTGACCTCCTATGCACTGAAATGTAGGGATATGGAAAATGAATAATTAGGTCCTCACTCTCCAGGAAGACACAGTTTAAGGGGGAATCCCAACAAGTCAATAGATAGTTCCAAATAAATCCAAAGCCCATCCAACTAATCATTTCAGGTGCCTCAGGAGGGAGCCCAAACAGATAATGTGGTCTGGATCAGCTGATCCTCAGGCCCCAGTGACATGGTAGCCAGGATTCCGGATCCATTACTTAGCCCTCCTTTTCCTGTCACCCCAAAACCTTCCTCTCCCTTCCTCTGATGGAGCCCTCATCGTAGCCTGCGTTGATCATAACTGTGATTAAATTATTGTCAGTGTGATAATTTGTCTAATGGACACCATTTTTAAATATATATTTTTATTGATTTCAGAGAGGAAGGGAGAGGGAGAAAGATAGAAACATCAATGATAAGAGAGAATCACTGATCAGCTGCCTCCTGCACACCTCCTGCTGGGGATCGAGCCTGCAACCTGGGCATGTGCCCTGACCGGGAATCCAACCCTGACGTCCTGGTTCATAGGTTGATGCTCAACCACTGAGCCACGCCGGCCGGGCTGGACACCATTTTTGTAAAAGATGCTGTGGGTGCTTTGACGAGAATTTTTACTGGCTGGTGCATCCCTACGCCAGCTGCTGCAAATATTGGCTGCTAACAGCTCTTAGCCACCCCTTGTGAATTGACCTCGACCAAACTGCCTCATCAGGATGGTTCTGTCCCACACCTGCCAAAACACACACACACACACACACACACACACACGGGAAGCCCACACCAAGGACTGAAGGGTATGGGACACAAGAGGCCAGACCCCTTGCACCAAAATGGGACCGCTATAGTGGCTGTCAAACTCCAGGGCTCCGCCCCCACCCAGATCAGACTGCGGCTCCACTCCAATTGAACCCACTTCCTTGCCTCCTCCTTCCCTAACTTGTCCTGTGTCCCTTACTCCCTCACACATTTCCCCCAAACTCACATGACCCTGAATCCCATCTCAGGCTCTGCTTCTAAAAAAAAACACAACAATTCAAACCGAAGTAGAAGCTAGTTCTCTGAGGGCAGGAACTGTGTCAGTCTTGTTTGCTGTTTATGTTCAAGGACTGGCACAATAGGGAACACACAGTAGGTGCTCGGCAAATGTTTTACGGGACAACTCATGAGCCCTTGTCACTGCTTGGAGAGAAAAAGAGAAAGTCCTATTACCCATATTTATAAGTTGAAGGGATGACTAAAAGGATCACATTTTGTAAAAATCTTCTATTCCCAGTCACCTCTAGCACATTTCTCCCACAACCCCTCCCAGAAATGGCTATCGTGACAAAGACTGACACTATTATATGCTGGCAAGGATGGGGAGGAACCACAACTTTTGTCTAGGCTGCTGGATATACAAACCAATGCAGCCACTTGGAAAGGCATTTTGACAGTTTCTTCAAAAGTTAAATGTGGACCCATCATGGGAACCAGCCATTCCCCTTTTGGTATTTACCTAAGAGAAATGAAAGCAGGCCTTGTATACAAGTGCTCACAGCAGCTTTATTTGCAATTGTCCCAGACTGGAAACAACTAGAATGTCCACCATCAGGAAAATGGATGAACATACAACAAAATACTTCTCATCAGTGAAAAGTATGAACTATCGGCATTCGAAACAATACGGGTGTACCTCCAAGGCATTGTGCTGAGTGAAAGAAGCCAGACCCAAAAGGCTACACACTGGATAATTTTGTTTATAAGCTGTTCTAGAAAGTACAAATGAATGAATGTAAACGGACAGGAAACAGGTCAGAAGGTAGTCTGGGGAGGGGTGGAGGGACGGGATGACAAAGGCAGGAGGGAACATTTGGGGTGATGGCTGTGTTCATTATCTTGATAAAGGTGACGGTTTCACAGGTGTAGACATTGAATTGTACATGTTAAGTGTGTGCAGTTTTTGGTACGTCAATCATAAGTTAATAACGTTGTTTTTAAAAAGTAATGTCCATGACAGTATTATATAGAAAATGTGTGTGTAGGAAAAAAACAGGGTGGGGCAAAAATAGTTTTACAGATATTCGTATGGAAAATAATAAATAACTAATAAATAATAATAGAAGAATAAACTGTTTTGCATCCTGACCATTGTAAAGCCACTTTTGCCCCACCCTGTATAACAAAGAAATTAAAAGCTGCGACTCAGAGATCCTTGTACACACATGTGCATAGCAGCACTAGTCACAGTAGCCAGAAGGTGGATACAAACCAAATGTCCACCAACTAATGAATGGACGAACAAAAATGGTCCATCCATACAATGGAATATTATTCAGTCATGAAAAGGAGTGAAGCGCTGACGACACACTACAACACTGATGAACTGTGAAAATATCATGTTGAGTGAAAGAAGCCAGACACTAAAAGCCACAGAGTGAATGATTCCATTTATATAAAATATCTGGAACAGGCAAATCCATAGTAACGGGAAGTGGATCAGAAGTGTCCAGGGGCTGAGGCAGGGGGAGATGCTTAATGGATACTGGGTTTCTGTTTGGGGCAATGAGAAATTTTGGAAGTACGTAATGGTGATGATTGCACATTTGGTGAATGTACTTAATGCCACTAAATTTTACAGGCAAAATGGCAAATTTTATGTTATATTTTACTGAAATGAAAGTTTAAATAATGAAATTCAAATACAAGGAAAAATATAACACATGGCTCTGTTGTAACCATATAGGAGAGACCATTGCTGAGTTTGGGTTAACTAGAGCAGGTCTGGATTCACATCAGCCCACTGTGTGACCGCTCTCAAATGTCTTGGCCTCTCTGTGCCCCACCTGTGAAACGGGAACCTAATGCTACCAACCCCTCATAGTATGTTATGTGAAGAGCTGGGGACAGCACCTGGCCACCAGCCATCCAATGTCAGTTCTTTGCAAATGCTCAGTCTTCTTTACTTTTCTACATTTTAACAATTCATCATTGAAAAAATAACAAACATTTCAGACCAAAGTCCCTTAGGCCTCCACCTCAGGTGTGTGTTTCTCTCAGCCCAGGTAGATCTCCACCAATCCTAGGCCCATCCCACTTGGTGACTTAAGCCAGCTTGAATTCACCCACCAGTCCTGAATTCACAACTGTGCGCCACTGGCTGGCCCCGAGTTCCATGCCACCCTCCAAGTGGAGGAAAATGGAATTCTTCTCTCATAGCAAGAAAGATCCCTTGAGGGGGTGAGCAGCCCATGGCTACCACAGGGAAATTCCAGGACTTTAGGAAAAGGACATTTAGGATCCTGCAGCTGCTTTCCTCCCTCTAGCCATCAGCCTCTTTGAAACCCTCAGTCAGGCTCCAGTCTCCCACAGATGTGGCCCTTGAGACTCAGCCTTTGCTGAGAGGTGGCCAGCCCTGTGGGACCGTGAACTGGACCCTGTCGGAGGCCCTCCCAGGAACAGTGGGAGCTTGTGGGTTTCTGTGGGTTCCCCTTCTGCAGCTCCATTCTGGCTTCAAAGGAGCCCCTGTGGGACATAGATGTGTGGCCAAGGCCCTGGGGATGCTAGTGGGAAAAGAAAAATAGGCGTGTGTGTATATTTTATTGCC